AGGGGAGAGCAGGATCTCTGGAATAGGGGAGAGCAGGATCTCTGGAAGGATCTCCCAGGGTTCTGCTCCATAGCTCTGCAGCAGCAGGCACAGAAACACCGTGTGCACTCTGTAAGTGGTACCCCAGCAACACCCAGGGCATTGCTGCTGGAAGCAAGGCCTGAACCAACCCAACCCAGCACATGGCAACAGTTCAGGGGAGCAGCAGAGCCAGCAGACAAACATCAAGCCCTTTTGGGTGCACAGCCACGTTATTGTACACCAGCATTTTCTGGGGAGACTGAAGGGGACAAAAAAGGCCCAGGACAGTAGAAGTGGGCCTGGCAGCCCTGTTTGCTTTGGAGGAAGGTTCCCTTGGCTCCTGGCTGTTGCTCTGTGCCACCCTTCCCCACCCTGATAAAGCACAGAGCCAGCAGCTGCCAGCTCCCTGATAACACCCTCCTCCTTCACCCTCCTCCATTCCGCACCTTCTGACACACAAAAAAGGAGCATTTGCTGGAATAAACCAAATTTTAATGGCTAGTCTAATGAAATTAGTAGATCTGTGCACATAATGACCATTTTTAGCCATGGATTTATTCAGTATCTTGGTTCACAAAGCCCCTGAATGACACTTTAGTGCTCTTCACTTTGCTTCCGGCAGTTCTGTCCCTGGTCAATTCTATCAACAGGAGATTAACCAGAGGTGCTTCTGTTTATCCTGCCATCTCTCTACAAATGGGAGAAGGCCCCTCCACATCCTACAGCTGCCTTCTCTGCAATTCATAGTTAATAATTCCTTTTCAGTAGAAAGTGAACCAGATGCTGAACCTGTTTATAGCTATTCCCCTCCTGTAGGCTAAATGTTTGACTTTGGGGGTAAAACTGAGCTCAGATCACGTCAGACATTTCAGTTTCAGGCCAAACATCCACTTTCCCTGCCATTAGAAGTTAGGGTGAATTATTTTAATTACTTTTCTTTTTTCAGCCTTAGACTCCTGTACCTCCATAACCTGTCCAGCTGAGGCAGTGCAGCAGAGGAAAGCCTGTTCTTGCAGAGACTGTTGGAAAGCACACAGGACATTGAAGTTCATTTGAAGTCTGTACAGAACTAGTCAGCACCAAGAAAAAGCCTGAGACAGCAAGAAACTCAAGATTACTCTTCTCACCCTTCTTTGCTCTAGTGCTGGCTGCTGGGCACTGACACTCAGCCAGCTCAGTGACACTGATTTGGGCTCCCAACTTTAAATGGATGTTCCTTTCCTTTCTCTTCATTTGGGACAATGCTGCAAGTTTCACAATCTGTCTTCTGGCTGCTTCCAAAGCATTTCAGTGTCTTATGTGATGTTACATAATTGTTCTGGCTTGGACAAGCACCTCCTGAGCCAAACTCTGCATTCCTTCCTGACACAGCCCGATGTCTGGAGGGACTGCAGCTCCCAAACTGGGTCAGTGTGGCTGAGCTCACAGTGGGTCAGTGTGGCCCCAGCAGTCCCAGGCTGCCTGGCAAACAGGTCTGGAGTCAGCAAAAGCAAAGACATGTTTAGCTCCACAAGGACACTGATCTTTAGAGAAATAAAGAGCCAGGTTACACCAGCCACGTGCGAGCAGCTCTCCCTGGAAGAGCCAGGAGACTTTGGCTTGAGTAGGGACCACCAAGTGTGGCCTGAACAGCACGTGGGGAGCGTTTAAGAGAGCAAAGCAGCCAGTCTAGAAATGCTGGAGAGACTGAAAGAGTTACCACAACACTCAGTTTTAAATGAGAACAACACCAGCACAAATGCAACCATAGTTTTCTTCAACTTCGCTCCTTCATCAACCCATTTGTTTCACCAGTTTAACGTTTAATTAATTAGTACTTTTTTAAAAAAGCAAAGATCTCAATAGCTTTTACGTTTTATACTTCCCTACAAGTTTCAGGAGTCAGCTCCCCCCTTGTATTACTACTCTTACACGTCAGGCCAGTTACCACCCAAACACAATAAAAGTACGTGGAAAAAACTCAACTTTGTGGTTTGTAATAACGTTGTAAAACCAGCCCTGTGATATTCAGAAACAAGGTTGCAGCAGCAGATAGAGCCCTCTGTGCTCGCTCGGAGCCTCCTTACCTCCAGCAGCAGGTCTGAGCGTGGGGTCTGGGTGAAAGTCTGGACAGGCACAGCCACCCAAAGCACAGCCTGGAGCCCTCCCTCTGCTCCCAGACAGCTGTTTAAATATCGGAGGCACAGCAGGGAGGGAGAGGAGGAGCCACAGGGAGGGAGGTGGAGCAAGGAAAGTCTTTCTAAGCGTGAGTCAGCAGGAATGTCCCCGCCCGGCTCTCAATGAATGATGCACTGACCATCCTCACCAGTGTTCACCTGACCGTGACTGCAGCAAACAGGCTGAGGGGAGCCCTGCATGGCACACTGAACAAATATCTTCATTTTTAACCCTCAGGGCACCACAGAGAGCTGGTGTGTCTGAAAAGAGAGATTTCAGTTTAGATTTCTTTCTGTTCAGCGACATTAAGTGTTATAAACCTTTTGCACAGTAGCAGTAAAATGAGTCAAACTTGCTCAGGTAAAGTTTAAACCATAGCAGGACTTTCATCCAAGGGATCTTACCCAATCCAGGGCCTGATCGATCCAGCTGCTAAATTTAAAGTGCCCATAACAAATGGAATCCCTCAGCACCAGAGTGCTCAGCTGGAGCAGGAACTGCAGCCCGTGTTTATCTCTGAGGCCATCTGTCCTGGAACCACCATTTCCAGGGAATCAGGAGGGCTGAGGGCCAGCCAAGGTGCACACTGCCATCCATGGGATCTGAAAGATAAGAGCTGTTCATGAGAGGGAGTTCTCTGCTCTCACAATACTTATATAATACTTATATATACTTAATATAATACTCTATTTTAATTCCAACAGAATAAGTTTTTTTTAATAAATATGAACCGTTGTTTCACTTAAACTCCCAGTCAACCCTTTGACAAACCTGACTGGGCAAACACTGTCAGGCTGAGGGGTGGGGCTCTCTTAAGGTCCCTTTCAAGTTCCTGGGCCTTTATCCAAGGCAGCATTTGCACAGAGCTCTTAAACAACTCATACTGGTTTTTTTGACAGCAAAGGCTTTTGTGTGTGTTATTCAGCTATTTATTGGCATGAAACCACTTTATCCATATTAGTCAAGGAAAAATTAGGCTTTCAGAGAAAGTAAGGCATTTGTTTGCTTAGGTGATGTAAGACTGCCCTCTTACCAGGTTTTTCAAAATCTGTCTTCAATATGTTGACGTGCAGCATTGCATATCAAACATTTTAGAACAAAGGTGTTCAAGTCAATACATGCTGATACCAGAGATACAGGAGGAAACCATACAAGCTTTGGCAGGCTTTTAATAAGGAAAATCAGGAATACTTCCTATGTGTGCAAATCAGCAGAAATAAAGTTGTCCTTCAGGTACAAAAGTAGGAGTCCCTCCCCATTTCCCACAGGAATTTTTAAAACTGTCATTTCTATTACCTTCACAAATAAAGCCAAAACCACGTGAAGTCTTTCCAAAACCACAAGCTCTATCACAGTTTTGTGTAAAGTACAATTCTTTACAGGAAAATGTTAATGTACAATAACCCACTGTCCAATAAGACCATTGAATAGCAATTTGGGTGTGGAATATATATATATATATATATATATATATACACATATATATATATATATGTATATCACTGTTAGTGTTTCTCCTTGTGTACCTTGCCTGGAAACAAATAATTCAGCCCAACACTTTGCATAAACTTTCCAGAAGAGGAAGTAGTTGTGCAATCTGCCCTTGGCCTGGCAGGCAGCTTTTGACCCACTAATTTGTGCAATTCACTTATTTTTTTGCTGAACTGACAAAAACATTTTATAGGTGCACAGGTTTGAAGGTCTTTAGAGAGCTTCCAACTTTTACAGAAAATAACCCTCTGCTAAAGCACTGCCCAGGTTTGTGGGCTCATTCCCTGGGGTGCACTGCACTGTGCTCAGAGAGGAGTCACACCTCTGGCACACGGGGGACAAAGAGATTTGTCAGACTTAAGTGGAAACTGTCAGTAAATGAATTATTTGCAAGGGTTTCTCCTCTGTTCTTTAAAGTTTTTCCTTTCAAAAATTAAATAGGAAAGCTTAGCCTCTAATGAACATCACCCAGAAAAGAGACAGTAGCAAAACCCCACCAGTGATCCAGCTGATGGAAAATGAGGCTTACACAGGAGCTTGTGGAAAGCTGCTCTCTTTAAAAAGGAGTTTGTTTTTTAATAGGACCCAGGACACTGAGGATTGCCTTTAGGTAATGTAAGGGATCAATTCTATCTGTGTACTTGCAAAAACACAGGAGGCAGGGTTAGAACACCACATTTGCTTTTATGTGAAT